ATTATAGAATATAATCAAGACGATTGCGCGCGTGCACCGTTGGTTGCCGTGTGTATTTATTTAGTGGTTATCATCATTACGATTATTCACAATTTTAATGACGACCCAATGTAAAGCCAAACAAAAGATAAACGCAACAGGAGAATTTGTATTACGCACAAAACTGTGAAATTTACTTGAACATCTAATCAGCTCGACCGTTAGTCAATTAGAAATTTATTGAAGCGGACTAAGGACCGAAGTTCCTGACGCCTGCCTTATTTACTTTCTCTTATATCTCTTTCGTCTGCAACTTCTTGACCATTTGCGACTGGCGACCGACCAAGGGGGATGAGATGACCGAAATGTTCTCGTTAGTTGGTGAAACTTCACGACTACTTGACTGAATGATGTGTACATACAGATCTCTTTTACCTATTGTATAGCCTTTGAAAGGGGAGAAATCTGTTTACGATGACCTGGGGTCAATAAAAAGCCACTCGTTGATGTGAGGATCTCGACGAGAAACTGTTAAACCTGCAGGGCGTGTTATTCTTTACCCCCGTCGCTTTGGTCAGTGTCTGATTTCGGCATTTAAAGGACTTGTAGCGAGTTGTAAGCTGATTTTCCTAGATTAGTCCCCCGTTTGATGTTTTTACGTACAACACATCTAAAATTTCTTGTTTAATGAACTACATGATTCATTTTCCGTTTTATGATTCCGTTAGAAAAGAACGAATTTGATGACCACGTCCAAATGGCGAGTCTAATGATTAATTCCCCGCAGATTATAACGGTATAGTATTTAAGTTCGGTCTTTCATGTATTGAATGCTCATTTCAGATTAACGGGGACTTAAAGGGCAGATATATACAAATCTTCTGGGGTCTTAACATAAAGTATGTTCCGTTTGATGATAGGAACGTGCCATGGTAATTTCTCTTCTTTTGTAATAATTTGCGTCAAATCTTACAAAACAACGTGAGAAAACAAGCTCAACAAAGTCCCACGATAAAATGGAATCATTTTCAATGGGTTCCCATGTTCGAACTTTGTTTTCTTGCACAATTTTCCCATTCTACAAAAATTAGATGTGACGAATTTAGCGTGTGGTTTTGCACCGATAGTGCCAACGCAGATGGCAGTTAAGGATACTCACGTGACGATTTCCTAAAGCAAGGCGCGAGAAAAGAAAGGCGGGAATGTATTATGTTTTTATGTGCCGACAACTAATTATATTATTATTCCCTTCAGACAGGTCCGAGTTGGGCAGTTCATGAACTCGGCCAACATGCCTAGATTTAGTCATTTTTTACACGTTGTACTCTTTGTCTTTTAGATAAAGCGGAGGGGATCAGTACCTATTAAAACGTGAGAGATAGGTTAATCAAGAGATGCCCCTTCTAAGCATATCCTATAAACACATTCATCCGTCTAGAGGTTATCTGATCAGCGCATTTAACTTTTATAGTGACACTTTTAACATCGAGCACATGCTCTTTTAATTCCAAGTTGAACCCGCTTCATGCATGATTTGACAGAATTTTGCGCTCGAGATATAAAAAATGAACAGAACTGACCAATTTGTGCCGTACTCAAGTTACTATCGCCAGTGGCAGTAATCTTTTGAACACTTGAACATGCACTTTCTCCATAAACACAATTACTAGTTTCATTTTATGGACAAATTTAAAGGATTAACAGATTTAATCGTCAACAAATCTAATTGTCATCATATTAGATTGTTAGTGATATACATTAATATTCACCTTGGGAAAGCAACGGAATCAGATATAAGCAAATGTAAATTGCGCAAGGATCTTAAGACTTCTTTGCGTTAATTTAATACTGCTCCATCTTTCAAAGAAAAATAAGAATTGTATGCAAGTGCTAGAAATTAAATTCAAATATCAAAGTGAGTATAACTAGGCACAAGAATTATTTGCCATCAGTCGTTTTTTTAAAGCATAACATACTCATCCCTCTTCGGAACGTTTGTTCTGTATAATGATCACCTTTTTGCCATTCTTTTTTTTTAATTTGACTTAAAATTCTTAAAGTTATTAGCAATATTTTAATATTACAATTTAATATTTTTAAGGTTGTTTGATTTTAAGTTCTCTTTACAGAACCGTGAGCTTTACAGTTAGTAAATTTATAATGAAAAAAACAAACATGTGAAACGTTAGAAAATTATAATATATGAGGCATACACCTGATATTAATGGTGTAACCCATTAAAAAATCAGAACCGTTTGCACTTCACTTCTGCTTTACATAATGGACCATGCCGCATGGGGTTGGGGTTATACTTTTTTATCCTTCTCGTTTAGCACTTTGTCTAACTGATGGACCTTCCATCTTATTTAGTTCTTGGTAAAAAAAACCCCCACTTTTTCAGATATGATAGGATATAGTATGATTTAAGGACATCCTCCACCTGCAATGTGTGATAACAGCACTCAGAAAAACCTGCTTTTCCCCAAAATTACCAGATTGAAAAAAAAAAGTTGCGTGTAACATAAATGTTATCACTATACATGCTGTGTCATGCATGTTAACATGGACGAGTGGTGCTCTGTTCCCGTAGCCGATCAAAGCTAGATATCACAACTCAACAAGCATATATCACCCATACCCGGTTCAAAAACACACAAAGGGTCTACAGTTGTTGAAATAGCCTGATAAATATTTGGATTACGCCATAATGTATATAGGTCATATAGACAGTGAAAAAACGCAGGTTTTATTCGCATATGTTCTATTCTTGAAAAGATATAATCGGTGACCGCGAAGCTCAGCGAGGCCGCCTCCTTGTGTGTATAAGATCGTTTTCAAAAGAAAAAAGTTTAAAGCGCTTTGACATTTTTATTTGTATATTATTTCAAAATGAATAGATAAGAATATGTAAACATTTGAGTTTGGGGTTTGTATTTCTTTAAATATGCAGCATGTTAAACAATGTACATAAAGGGTTGGGGGAAGAAAGGGAAAGTTAGGGCTGGCTGTTAAAATTTTAACGATAAGACTTTTTAAATATTTTTGGGATGTTTTAAATAGTAAAATATCATACAGAATAACAATAATAGATATGTGTCATTTTTGGGATTTTACAAATATAGTACAGATAAAAAATAATTATTATCAACACTAATCCAAAAATTGATGTTTTACTTATGTACTGCTACTGAGTGCTCACACACTATTTTCGTCCACAGTCTTTCGAGGAAACCAAGGGACTATTAAAATGGATATGTCCGTCCATTATTCTGTCTGTCTGTCTGTCTGTCATACTTTTTGGGACACAACAACTCTCCTAATTAGCTAGAATGTTCAGACTTGGTATAGGTGTTTATGAAATATGTGCAATCGCGTATAACACTGAGTGAAGTCCATAGAGCTGCATTAAAATTTGTTTAAAGTAAATGTCTTAATGATAAGCATAACTCAAAATTTGCTGGATTCTCTAAAGAAATAAAGGACGTATACAATATTGTTCCACCATGATAAAATTTTGTTTGATATTAGGAATACATGTGTTGATATTTGAACCATGTAATGGTAGGATTATTCTATTGGGAAAGATATTCACAAAATTTATATTTTAGGTTCTACCAAATTTACAATTTTTGTGTAAGGGGTTATACATTCCAGGGCATTTTATGCATTTAAACGAAGAGTTGCATGTTTAAAAACGTTAATGGTAAATCTTGCACCTTTTACTTTTCGCCAGGGAAGCTTATATTCATCATATTATGAGTTCAAAATAAGATAATTTATGCGACCTATGGGATAAAAAATAAAATATGCATGTAGATTGCTTGGAAGGCGTTGTTACATAACATCATATAGGTTAGTATATGAGTTAACCTATACAGTAAAAGGGCGCGACATTAACAAACAGATGGTCTTAAAGAGCACAATCTGGGTCAAAAACTTGACTAACAAAAACTTATCAACGACCTTTTGCACAAAGAAAGGGGTCACAAAACTTGAGAAAATTTGGTTATCAAAACTCATGCGCATAAAATATATACTAAGAAGTAGGTGGTCACGCGGGGTCAGTGTTGTGCATTTGATGACGGTTTCGTGGATATTTATGACAAACGGTAGGCGAGAGAAATTGCTGCCTTTAACACAGAAGTAGCTAGATAGGTATAAAGGCGTCTCGTGGTTATTAGCGGTGATATATGATCAGCCCTACCACATAACCCATGTGTACCACTTGCGCAACATGCATAACAAAGTGAATGTAAGAGGTCACCGATATACCCGGCTATAGGTTACATCGGTTATGTACCGTCTTGCCATATATCTCCGTCTAAAACTGTGACCTTTGCGTCAGGTCACGGAAAGAGATGATAAAAGTAATTATGCTGTTGTTCCTCCTTTCGGTTCATACCGAATCCGTCGCATTATAACACATTAATTCAAATAGCTAACAGTTTTAAGTATATCTAGTATTGTGTAGAAAAGTGTGACTGGACTTCTGAATAGGATTCTTGTCTTAGTGTCATAGAGGCAAGTTCAGGGTTAAACCCTATACGTCCAAGATACATTATCAGTTCATCTTTTTATTAATATGACAAGTGGCCGTATCTGAAACATATAATAACTACAAGTATACATTAATATCTAGACTGTTTGTATTAAGAGTTAATTTCTATGAACCTAGACGTTTAACCCTAGAGCTCTAGCGTTATGCTTCATGAAGCCCGTACTCTAGCAGACGAACTTTCGGGTCTAAGAGCATACCGCGCAAATATCACATGAATCGGTAATTATTTTGATGAGCATAAAATTTCCACCTCCCACTTCTGACTCTGCGGTAATATTCACGATTGGCCTTCCTCCACCGAGCGAGCGGCAAGGCGATTGGCCCATTGACGCGCGTGACCTGTAAGAGCAGACGATACAACAAGAGCGCAGTGATATGAGCTTTTCGCCTGACAGTCAAGTCGGGAATAATGAATGACGTTGAGGACCAATCAGAACAGCCGTAACTGTTAGCGGTTATGCCCCGCGTGGCGAGGGGCTTTGACCAGACGACAGCAGTTGTCACTCACCGCTACACTTCTTCAACCTTAGTGACTCCCAGCGCCATATAAGGAGGTGTAACCATAGAAACTTAGCAGTTTGAAGGGAGAAGTCAGAGTTCAGTGAGCCTTAGTACTGTCAGACGGTAAAACACGCTCCAAAACAGTTTGAGCTGATTCCTACGCGCACAACACTGCTTCGCACTGATTGAGTATATAGATTGAGAAGAGTGGGACACTAAAGACAGAGGGCTAATGACAGTAGAACAGCATCATCTAGGATTAAAAAAGAACGGATGAAAGCTCGAGGACTTTGTGCTATTTCATAATTTGAACTTGTTATACGGGCCAGATGACACTCGTGTAGAGATATAGATACTGTGACTAAAAGTGTACCTTCCTCGTCGTTATATACACTACTATGGCTATGACTCCTACACAGCCTACAGTTACTCCTTGGAGAGACCCTAATGATGACTTAGGGGGTACGACACCAACAGCGGTGCAACCTCCACCGTTACCTCCACCTCTCCCACCGGCTGTCACACCTACGCAGACCCAGATACCAACAGTAAATACCCCTACCCCACAACAAAACGGAACGTCGCCGAACTCGGAGACAAATAACAATAACAAACAACACATAGAATGTGTCGTGTGTGGAGATAAAAGTTCTGGAAAGCATTACGGACAATATACATGTGAAGGGTGTAAAAGTTTCTTTAAGAGATCCGTGCGACGGAATTTGACGTATACATGTAGAGGCAACCGAACCTGTCCAATAGATCAACATCACAGGAATCAGTGCCAGTACTGTCGTCTGAAGAAATGTCTGAAGGCGGGGATGAGACGGGAAGGTAGGTGGGATACAGGTCAGTGGATGGTGGGTGAAAGGGCCCTTTCTCTACCCTCAACCCCTAAAAAATGTAAAATGTTGTATATATACACGCACTAAATTGTTATGACACTAAAACCTTCTTAAACTGGGCGGTGGTGATTTCTTTAATAATCTTTTAACTCAGACTTAAATGGTTAAAATATAAATAACCGACGTTATTGTTTTATTCATGAAAATATAACATATTTATTTGATTAGCTAACCTAAATCCTGAACCACAAAAAGTATTGTTTCACAAATAGTTTTACGTATTCATCACTTTTAGACTGAAAGGACGATAAATTCTGACAAATAGTTTTCGCTTTTTTTTATTCCATTCATTACTATTAAGAGAAAGATTATCTGAGTTTGTAACGTTTGATTACTAGGTGCCGCGGGAAAGTCTTAATACGTGTTAAATGTTAATAGGGTATAATTAGGGGCGTAGTGCAAATATATCATTTACTATGCTAGAAACAGACATATTTACGAATATATTTAATGGCATGTTGATAATGCTTGTATGTGTAATATTGAAAACACGCGGTTGCGCTAGACAATTTGATTTATTTGGACGAATTTTCAAGCGTGGGCAAATCTTGCACTTCTAAATGTTTCTATTTAAGTGTTTTAACTATACATTTTACGGTCATATTATGATGGATATTTTGCATTGATTCAGCGGTAAATAACAACGACTATAGTATTCAGGAATCACTCAAACAACTTGGCTGAAAGTGGAAAGGGTGTGTGGCTACAATTACAAAACTAAATTTTAAATATAACCGGCACTTGATCATTTCTTCAAAGGTTTTTGAAGATATTGAGATTGTTTACTATGTGTGTCAACAATATGGCTAAGATGTTTTTTAAATGCCCATGTCATAGACAAAACAACGTTTTGCTATTTTGCAATGAAACCGACACACGTGTGACGTAGACCCAATAAATGAAATTTTTATATTATTATATTTTTCGTTAGTAAATAATACTAAATCTGCGACGAATCATTTTTACGCTTCACGGCATATTTATGGTGCTTTTACATCTGCAGTGATGCCAATAAATATTTTTTTGTGTTTGATAATTGCAGATGATCATGATATTTTTTAAACACAATTGTATAAAGTTCACTGAAAAATCTTGTATGTCTATTATCAAATAAATGAAAGGGTTCATTGTCGTATTAAATTTGAAAAAGAAGGTAGTTATGTTATGTCGATAGTTATTGCTATATATAGAATATTATTACATTCGTATCTTGTTTATTATTCATGACTGATCAATGCCAATAGTTTACTTAAAACAACCGTTATACTTGATATCTCTGTTCGCGAAGATAGACATCGGTATTGTTTTAATAATACCAAATGTATCAGATTTTGATAACATGTAATGTGTTTGAATAATTCAGATTCAGGTATTAAAATGATATTAAACCATAAACTGTCTAGACGTTTCACTCTCTTTGTGCCGACTTTTATAGATTTATATTAATAAGAAAATTATTGACATGTGTATGTTGAATTAATACGTAATATCAACAATCCGTTAAACTTGAGTGAACTGTAGGTCTACGAAGAATGCATGGATGTTGTGAGTTAATACCAAAAAATCTATAATTGGAATAAAGGAAAAGAAAGTCCCGACATTCGTATCCCATTAATTATTACTGGTTTGCGTCGTCCCATGTTGAATCCCACAGAATCATTTCTATTGGGTATTTGAAACTAAACGCTTACACAACATATAATTTGTACTTTGTCAAGAATTTTAACAATACCTTTAAAGAGACATTTTGCCTATTAAAATTACAAAATAACTCGGATATTATCAAATATACTTTCGCAGAATATTTAATCATGACTTTTTACTGGTATTCTTTTAAAAGTGTAAAAGTTTTATTGTATAGAAGTAGTAACGGGTAATGTAATATTAAATTGTACTCCATATATTCCCGAGTTAAATTTCTCTTTAATATCGGATTTTACAAGCGTTTATTACAACTGTAACGTATTGAATGACAACTGAAAGTAGATCCGAGACCTCGGTCAGTACCATGCGCTTAAAGCGACCAACCGTTATTTAGGACATCTGATAGCTTCCCCCTTTTAATCAGTTATTGTCGATACGTCTACGTATTGTGCATTGATTTATTACAATCTGACACACTGCTTATAGAAACGCACGTTAACTAGGAAATGAAATCTGTTGCTATATGCAAACTGCATAGAAATATATTTTAATATACGATATTCACGTACATTACATAAATCAATATTGAAACGTGACTTCTCTTGGTATATAGGTTAAATATAGGTTAATTGCATATTTAGTTTAAAATAGATTCGCGTTTGCAAATTTGTATAATGTATTTTATTTTGCTTAAAAAATCATATTATTAATATAATTTATTGAGAGCCATAAATCATATTTTTTGTCTATAAATGCCATCCTTGCAGTAATAATTAATATAATTTCTAACAAAGATATGGAAAAGTCTATATATGTTACGACCAGTACAATCATGTGAAATGCGAATAAATAAATTAAGGATTAGAACAATTGAAACGATCTAATTAGAAAATGAATTGACTTTATGAATAGGATAATCAATAGTCTTATTTAAGATCTTAATTCAAATAGAAAGCTTTAGAGAAATTGGATTTAAGTCGTAGAAAGTCATCAAATTTAAATGAGTAAATCAATTGTAATTATATGTACATTATTTAAATATTGATCAGAAATTTAGACAAAGTAATGTTATTAAATAACTGTTTTAGGTTTTAAATTTTAAAAAAATACTGTTCTACCACGTTCATAAACTCTTAAACATGGAGAAACACGAATAGAACGTTGTCTTACAAATGGACGAAAGTCACACTCGAACATAGAAATTTTGTGAGGAAAACAAGATACAATGTATTTCACATTGTAGATAAATATTTACATAAACAATAGAATTACTTATCTGATAATAACATTACTTACATGATATGTAACATGATGTCACTGTATGTAGGACAAGATTGTGTTCGTAACAAAAGGTGCAGCGAATAAACATAGATACATCATGTTAAAATAACTTCATAAATATATCAGAGTTTCTATAACCTCTGGCTTTATCTTAGTACATCATTCAAAATAAACATGAAGGATTTTTTTAAAACGTTTAATATCCTGTATCGGTGTTATGGATAGCAATTTTTGGTAATTTATTTCAAATCCTATTTTCTTGACAAAATGGCGACAAAATCCGTTCTCTAACTACGCGGAAAGAAACGCAGAGGAATGCGTTCAATAAAAATTAACATCCAAGACAGCTATATCTTTTAAAATTTATGTTACAAAATAAGTTTCCTAATTTGTTCACACCATCAAAAAAGAGGAAATGGGAAATATTGACTTTCTCCTAGGATAGCTTTGTTGGAATATCAGTCGAATGTATTAAACAATAATATTCAAGATTTTTAATGGAACAATAACACAAAATGCCTATATGTTTATCCGTAATAAAAGATATGTATAAAACTTATGAAAACCCTTGTGGCTGTTATTTCTATATAAATACCGTTACTAAAACATATACAGCAAGAAGCTTGTTTGGGTCTGATCTGAAAAACATATCTATAGACATGCACTAAAACTTGTATTTGTTTGAAAAATATATTGACTCATTTCGAGGGAATATGGGAAGATGATTAGCCGCGATCTTTAGCAACAAAAGTTGACTCTTACTCTTAGATAATCAATGTATTTTTTAAGCCGAAAGTCAATTAAATATAAAAGCGTCTACGGGGATATGTAAATATTGATCATACATAGAGAAAAGTCTAAATATTTGTACAATAGGAAATCTTTAATATAATATGTAAGGCAGGGATGAAGCTTTCTAGAGGAGATCGCACATAGGAACCTTATCATTACCATTGTTCATACAACATATATCCGGAGTATTTTCTATTAATCGACCTTGCCAGAAATCTTCATTGTTATCTTATCATAATACAGTGGTGCACGGGTGGATGTAAATTATTAACAATAATATATCTATTTTCATACACATTTGTTTGGATGGAATCTGGTGGCGTTTTTTTCCATATAAATTCTTGTTTTATTTTGAGTACTTAAAAGTAATATACGATTTAATTATGTTAAAATTATAATTGATCAAATCTGCTTTTAAGCTTCATTCAGTTATTTTTAAATATATTTTTTGCTTCTGTTTCAGCTGTTCAAAGAGGACGGATTCCACCAAGTCAGCACCCTTTTGCTGGACAGATGGGCTTCCCAAATGGCGATCCTCTAAGTGGTCATACCTATCTATCAAGCTTTATATCAATGTTATTAAGGGCTGAACCTTATCCTACATCAAGATATGGACAGTGTATGCAGCCAAATAATATCATGGGTATTGAGAATATATGCGAATTGGCCGCAAGGTTATTATTCAGCGCCGTAGAATGGGCACGTAACGTCCCCTTCTTCCCGGACTTACAAGTAACCGATCAAGTGGCACTTCTCCGACTCAGTTGGAGCGAACTTTTTGTTTTAAACGCTGCCCAGAGTGCAATGCCCTTACATGTTGCACCACTTTTGGCCGCAGCCGGACTCCACGCATCGCCGATGGCGGCGGACCGAGTGGTAGCCTTTATGGACCATATACGCATATTTCAAGAACAAGTAGAGAAACTTAAGCAGCTTCATGTTGATACCGCTGAATACAGTTGTTTAAAGGCAATAGTTCTGTTCAGTTCAGGTAGGTTGATTTAATTTAAAAACATCTTGACTTTATTACATGTACTCTGTTACCACCTTTTTCCTGTACTGAGGTCATGGTTTTGCCTTAGACAAACGGGCGGAACATGTAACGGAACTTTAGTCAAGCAGGTCACTATCTTCAGACTTTAGAGAACCCTGTTCCTTATTGGCACACGCGGTCTACTTGTATTTTCAAACAAACTTTGTATTTTATATATACAATTGAATAAAATAGTAAGTGAGTTTGAATAGATAGTAAGTGAGTAGCTGGCGTTTTTGAAAATAGGATATACTTTATACTTGGGTGGTTAGAACTATTTGTTTTGTCAGAGCCACGTGTGATGGGCTAATTACAACCAAGGAAAGTAGAAAGGCTAGACAACAAACAATAGTATGTATGACCTTTGGTTACATTGAACATAAAGTATGTAACAGCACATTGGAAAACATCTCGTGTCAGTCACTGGAATTCTGTTACCTATAATATTACAGTAAATAGTTCATAGTCGTCTGCTCGACACAAAATGTCGTCTGTTTGTGGAAATAGAGACCTATCATCAATACACCCACCATTTAGGTCAGGGAATAACCAACTTTAACGATAAATTAACCTTGTTAATAATTTTTATCAGTAGCGTGTAAAAATAGCGACCTTTATCCAAAATTTATTCAGCCCATTTATAAAGTTGATATAGATAGCAAAATAGCACATCACACCAAGCCTATTATGTGTCATAGCAAAATGAAATCATTCAATTGTTGCTACAATTTATATCCCATAGCCAAAAAAATCGCTGTTCTGTTGGGTTAATTTTGATTCCAAATTTCGATAATAATTTTGTTGGCTATCGGTTTTTAATGCCCGACTCTGGTATAAAACAAGAGTTAACAGGCCTTTGATTAAACACTTCTGTTCAATATCGGTGGTGTTAAAACACGATTAGGCTGCACACCAATTATAAGCTTATCGATTCCAACTGGGTAGAAGTGGCCAATCACGAAACTCCTTACATCACCATCCGGTGACTTAACCGCAATATTGAATCGGCAATGGATGAGCAAGCCATACAATTCCGCCAAACTCATTTGTCAAAATGGTTTATGGCGTTCTCTCCTACAATTACTATCGATATACAGTACAATATCTGATAAAATGCTCCCCTGAAAATGGCCCATATAATATAAAGCCAGCAGAATAAAATGTTTTGACGACCTTTATAACAATTTAGAACAATTACTTTATTTATTTATATATAAACGACGCATTGAAAGATAATTACAAATAATATGATATATGTGTGTTTATTGCATTATATATAGTATAGAATTAATGCCTGAAAAATGCGAAGTTCTGTGATTGAAGAAAAAATGCGAAGTGGTGCGATTGAAATCAGGACCGCGAATTCGGTTTATTATTTTTTTGCGCGGGGGGGGGGGGGGGGTCTAAATGGGTCTCTAAATAAAGAACACTGAAAAGATCACTCGATAGATAAAAATGGAAAAGTTCGATCACTAATGTCATGTACACGTGCATTAATAATTGCAAACCTAATCGTGACACCGTGGTTATTAATTTCACCCTAGAAATAGATTATTACAAGTTGATAGTTATTGTATTCCATAATAAATGAACATTTCTCATTTATTACTTTGGCTTGCCTTTTTAATATGGCTTATTGTGTAATATATTCTTGATTAATGTAATCTTCAATATCAAAATTCTTCTATAGTATCTCAAATCATTGCACAAATTCCAACAATTTTTGGATGAATACACAGATTCAAAAAACAACAAATGCAATATATTAGCCATCGTTTTACTGTTAGAATTTACGTTTATGATACATTATTACGACAATGTACAATAACTATAAGGTGATATTATTTATTATTCTGATAGCGTAATCCATATTCGAAAATAATCTGATGAGTTTCATGTCTAGACGAGGAAAATAGAAAATATTACAAGTTGAAATTAGAATCCTAGACGAAAATAACAGCCCATATTATCTTTTCAATTGTACTAGTTATGCAATGAACACCAATGCCGATATAAAACTAATGTCATTCAGATATATACATTCAATAATGGTATCCAAATTCAAATTTTATTTTTTATATTTTAGTTTGTCATGAAATAATATGGTGCATTGTAAAGGTGCATAGGTAATAACTAATTAAAGTGACAATTTGCTGACACAAATAAATTACTACCCTACCTCATTGAAATTCGGTATAAGGATACAAAGAAAACTTTATCTTTGTGGTTTTATTCATGATTTAGACTCCGAAATGTGCAACTATCCAAGAATTGAATGTCCTCTTATGATCTTTTTATTTATTTAGTAATGAAATTGAAATTATACCCAACAAACTGTCCCTTTATTAAATGTAACGAAAGCCGCAGCCAAGGTGTTCAAATAGATCCATAAAGCATGTAGTTAATATGTATCGCTTTCTCATATTTCAAAAAACATTTTCTTCCTTTCTTTCACGTATTTTCAATGCGACAAGACTAGCTCGTTATACATGTTTTCAATACAAATTTTCGGGGCCGAGTTTTTTTCTTGTTTGGCTGATATCCATTAGTAAACAGTAGTCTACCTAAGGTGTCTTATTAAAATTGAAATTTGGTTAGTGAATTCTATCGTCTGGAAGCGAGCGCAACTTAAGACCCTTTAAACTTCCCAAACCCATTTCCCTGGATTTTCTCGGTGGCCTGATAAACAAAACTTATGGAGGTTAAGCTTTTACTAACAAATCACCCTTGGTCATGTTAAACTTAGTTAAACTGATGCATTTCTAAATGATTTACAGAAGTGAACAAGTAAATGAACAAACAATTTGTGCCACGGGTCTGGTCGCCGTTGGTTGCCTAACTCAAACTCGCTCGAAATGATGACAGGCAAACGTGTCAAGCCGATGGCTAGATGCGACTTTAGCGCGATTCTGCTGACACAAAGGGCATTTTATATTTATCTGATCAACGAAAGCAAGTCGGCATTGTCTCAAAGAGCGTGACATTCGATGTTTTACACCTTTTCGTTAAACAGAAGTCACGCTTTGAGTAGAAGTTGACGAAGGAAATAACTAATCGAAAAACAACTTAACACAATCATTGTTTCATTCCGCTTGTACCTTTTTTTCAAATTTAACACTTGTCGTCTTTTTCATTTCAATCTTTCATTCATCTTATCTGTAAGAAAAGAAAGATACAGATATTTGAGATTCACTGTAAGCTTGTTAGACTTTGGTACTTACGCTTTGATGGAAGTCATCTTTAACACGACAGAAAACGAGGGTTTAACATGTTAAAAAATTGAGGGCGGAAAAAGTAAATTAATAAGATTGTTTGTTGATCATTAAAGAATTTAAAGTTTATCTTTTTAAACATTTCTTGTATTTTTTGTACTCCGCATTCCGTATATAGCGCAGCGCTTTTAAGTCACCCAAGATAATTTTTTAAAAAGTGATTCAAGATTTATCTATACAAGAAAAGAAAAGACGGGTTTTCTTTGCATGCTGTAAAGCTATCACAAGGTTTAGAATTTCTTGGATTCTTTGCCGACGTCAATTTCTAACCATTACCTCAGCACAAAAACATGCGAGGGCCATTTGTCTTAAAGCTGTCGAAAGAGATCACATTTCCGCAGTTAGTGATGGAGTGAATTGGTTTACCTCTAATGTAAATACTTTCAACACTAATCAAGTAATTTACCATCAAACATTTTGTTCACACTTTTGTGGTGTTGTCAATAGAAGTAATTTTAAGACCGGACCAGATTATGGTTAATGGACGCCATTCTGACAGACTGGAAGTACATACAGTTTCCAAATTCCCCAGATTTGTTTTCTATTTAAAATGTAAACGAAAACACCCATATTTTTAATTTTCATAGTTGCTGAATTTATTGATAAATATTGGTTCACGAAAATGAAAAATCGCCAATTAATATAAGTAATCGATTCGTGATCAGATTTTGATTTGGTAAATGTAAATTCTATTTTAGTTAATTTTATAACTTTATGAATTAAAATTGTTTCTAATAAAAAAAAATCATATTTCAAAATTTATACTAATAATTTCTCTTATTGGGCAAATTTTAATGAGGATGGTGCATTATTAATTAAAGAGTCTCTCAAAGGATTCATATCTATATGCCTTTCTTGTTATAACATTTCAGATACATTTTTAGAGAATAAAAATCAAGAAAACTTTCTGATTTGTGTATTACACGTTGACTTAGACTATAAATAAAATGATAAGCGAAAAATATGCAGGTATATCGAGGTACAAACTAGGTAGAGAGCAAGGTATATGGAGCTTATCAACAAGGTCATTTAACATGCATCTGTCATAAGGTTAGAGAGTATAGACCACTTTATCAGTATGCGATTAAACTCGGGACGATAATATACACTTTATTGTTCGGGTAAGCCGTTGTTGGCTAGGTACTCGCATGATTACATATTTATCTCTAAATAATATGATCAAAATGGTTAATTCCAGGAACCTTGTATTTGAAAATGAACAGTTTGGGTCTTTTTATTGTTATCTATGCTATCAACAGTACTGTAGAATGGCATTCCGATTTAATCAAACATTATTCATGGTATGCTTTTAAACGTCAAAATTATGACATCACGTATTTGACTATTTATCCAAAAACAGGTATTCGCATTCCCCTTTCAAGATATTGTGAAGTGTATGCTCGTGCTTGAACATGCATATCAAATCTTAAGGACTTTCCATTAAAATATGCATTCAACCAATCCTATGTACTTAGTGATCATTATTAGTGATATCAAATGTTTGCACATTGATAGTCGCAACAAGTGAATTATTGACAGTATTTTGGCGACACCCCCGCCCCCAAATCCGGAACCGTTAGGGGGGTTAATTAACTGGATATACCACTAATTCATTACGTTAAAAGAATGTTTAGTTGGTTGAGTCAATCACGCCTGAATCTCTCACAACGCCCATGGGGTGTTTTC